ATATATATATATATATATATATATATATATATATATATCAATAAAAACAGTTTCCATAACAGACATGTTTTCACTTTTCTGATCTACATCTATGTATCCTCTAGGTGGCAGCAAATTAACATTCATGGCCTGATTAAGGTTATGCATTTTATGAAGATGGAGCATATGAAGCCTTACTTGATATACGTGGGTAGTGTTTCACTGTACCTCTTTTAATGTCTCCACAGCGCTAGAAATTATATTATACTCTGCTTGTCCTTTTATCCCCTCATTTGGAGCTGCACTAATGGTTATGATACATCAGAGGATGTGTGAATCACAGATTCCCCCTTTCAGTAGCTAAAGATGATGTATGAAGTTTCCATGGTTTCTGTAGAACATAAAAAAAAAAAACAGATTCATGCTCCGGCACAAGCAGTCACAGACAGCAGATGTCTTCATGTTTGAAATGACTAGAAGAGATTTAATCTTTCAACAGTGTCAAGGATACTTTCTACAATGCTCAACCAACTATAAAAGTACTTTTTGTAGAACACTATAGTAATAAATGGACAAGAGACTTAAATTTTCAGAATGATAAAAGCCAGAACTGTACTTCCTTTTTCCTGATGCTTCATACATCATTTAACTGTTTATTTCTATAGAATGTATGCATATCTTTTCTAGTTTTGACTTTACAAAGTTTGACAAAGTTTCAAAAAACTATTTGGAAGTATGACAGTATTCTGTGCCAAAAATCTTACTTCCGGGTTCGTACAAGTTTCGGAGAGTTTTTTTCGATCGTGGCTCTTCACAATGTAAATGAGGGTGGAACTCCTTATATGGGCATTTCTCCCAGAAAAACGCGCCCCCGCACGCATGGACCAGAGCAGAAAACTAGAGAGAGATCGGGCCCATCAATGCGCTTCATCCGGCGGCAGCAGGGGACTTGCTCGGGAAGAATGTCTCCAAAGAAGTGTGTTTTTGGTTGTAAAGGAAAGATAACTTTGTTCAGCTTCCTAAAGAACTAAAGACTTTTTGGATATATGAATGATGCAGTACTACTCTATACGTACTCAAGATTAACATGAGATTGGGTGAAACTGTGTGTGTTATGTCCCCTTTAAGAACAGATATGAAAAGTAGTCATTGTGGTTAAACAGGTGCAACTTCACATCACTTAGTAGAAAAAGTTCATTCCAGGCAATTCTAGGTGGCAGTCTGTGCAGTGTCTGCAAAGGTGGTGTCCTTTTAGCACTGTTAACAGACGATACAATTTTAATGCCCCTCAAATAATTTGCTAGCCGATAGAGGACACTTCACTCCAGACATTTCACAGTTGAGCCTGTGGCATTACTTACAGCTTGGGAACAGTTGTGTAACACATCTTCATGGCCTCTTTTACTAATGAAGAGGTGTGAACACTGAACCCTGTGACTTTC